GCAGAAAGATCAGGAACGAGGCCATGCCTCTCTGGTACCCTGGCACCATCTAGAGAGTCAGGCACATAGAAAAGTCTTCCACAAATGTCTGAGTGTGAGAGGGAGTGCAAAGCTTGGGGAGTGAAGATGTGAAAGATCATCAGTATTGGTGTGTTTTCTCAGAGATAAAGGGGCCCTCCATTAAGTAAGAGCCTTTTTCTTACTTAAAATCTTGAGGAACTTCTTTACTGCAGGTAATTTCAGAAACTGCTCCTAAGAGCCAAGAATCTCCACACTGAAAAGAAATGTTTCTCAGTAGTTGTATAGGATGACAGGCCTGAAGTCTCACAACTCACTTGAGGGGGAAACCAGAACAGCCTAATTACTGTCACAACGCCTTCCATGTTTGGATGTAATACGAAACACTCACTAAGTGCTTTACAGTTAATCTACAATTAATTTAGATATGCAGTTGTTCTGTATAGAATAACATTCAGCAGTATAAATGTAAATGATGAATAACAAGCTGCAGCTGACTATCAGGGGCTGGAATCCTGCAACAGGCAATAGGCTATTTGATTTTCGCAGTTCTATTGGAAGTCATTTAGAGGTATTTTAAATGTGCTTGGAGAAGAGAATCACAACATCCTGTTATTCCAAATAATAGCAATAAAAATATGTGAAAGAGAGAGGAATTCAAAACTTTTAATATGGTATCTTGTCATGCTCCCTGGTTAAAAAAAAAAAAGAGGAACTGTTTTTATTTACCCACTTTGCACTTAATAAATGTCGACTGAACATCTTTTGTGTGCTTGGCATGTTTTGCAGGTGAGGAAGATCGTGAATGGAAAGGCAAGTAACTCAGCCTAAGCGTAATGGACTTGAACTCATTAAAAGAAATGAGTTTCTAACTTCTTATTTACTCATTCAAAAGGATGTCTTCCCAGGGACCCTCTTAACGATTCTGGATTCAGGCAGCACCTTCCACTTTACAAAGAGATTTCACATAAATATCTCATGTTGTTCACAATAACCCTGAGCACAGGCAGGACTAGTACGTATCCAGTTACGCACCCAGGAAAGTGAGGTGAAGTATCCAGAGTGAACCAGGAGCACTGCGTTTCCTGCCTCTGAGTCTGGTCCTTATTTAGTTTTTCTGCATTTTAGCAGGAGGTGAGACGTGCAGCTAAAAATGGCTTCATAACTCAACCCAGGTGGAGACACGTTATCTGACATCTTTCCCTTAGCATTTATATTTGGCGGTGGGATGGGGCATAAAGAAAGCGAAGGAGTGAGACGCTGATCTTTGGCACCCATCCTCTCCTCCAGTTATGTGTCCTGAGAACTGACAGAGATTTTCTCCATTCACACAATCCAACCAAGAGAAGATGGAGTTGAATGTGGAACACTGCTGGTAATTGGAGGTCTCTGAAGCTGCATTTCTATGAGCTTTAAACAACTACTCATCAAAAATGCACTAGATTCTAAATCCTTGGATGCTCAAGAGCTCAACTGGCTCTTTAGAATCAGACACAAAAATCAATGACACAGGTCCTTGAAGAAATGGAAGCCAAAACACATTTAGTTCTGCCAAGGGAAGGTTTCCCTTGGTTCCTCAGAGTGAGGTTGATATTTAGCATGCTTGAGTGAGCTGTTAAGCCCGGGTGCAATATAAATAGATGTAATTTAGTGCTTTTGACAGGAGATTCCACTCATCTTTGTCCCTCTGCCCTCTCTCCATTCTGAATCATGACTAAATGGCCTCTAATAAGTCCTTTCAGCTTACACAGCCTGGTAAGTGTAAATATCACTTACCAGAGCCATTAACGTGTTAATGCCTTTTTGGTGGATCAATACCTGAGTCTGTGGTCTTTTGCAAATTCTAAATTGTGCAGAAGGGAAAAACTTTCCAAAGGGTAAGTGATGTAATGGTATGGGCTACATTACCTCCCCTTCAAATTCCTGTATTGAAGCCCTGGTCACCGGAGTATGGTAATTAGAGGCAGGGCCTTCAGGAGGTAATTAGTTTAGACAAAGGCATGAGGAGGGTGCCCTCATGATGGGATTAGTGCCCTTATGAAAAGAGACATTCAGAG